TTCAGTGCACTGTCGAAAACCGAGGAGAAAGCAATCAAAACTCTGAGAAACGACAAGGGAATTTCTGGAAGCTTAGCATTCATCGGAAAACTCGGACAACCGACACATTGACATCGATCAAGTCTACACCCCCATGCAACAAAAGGACCAATCAACGCAAAGAAGGTGGGTCGTGTCACACGTGACACGACAGGACAACAGTAACGCTTAGACTGATCAATCAACGGCCACCCGTCAGACTACTCGCGTCCACCTCATCCCCTATCGACACAAGGCGAACAAACCTTGGCCAATCAGGCAACGCCACATCACGCAATGACCTATATAAGGAAGGGGACACTCGTAATCACTCACCCAGTTACTGCATTGAGAATGTCCCCTCGAATGATGATGAAACGTTTGCAATACATTTGCCAAGCTCGGCGAACAACTGAACATCAAATCATACCACCCGAGCCACAAAAACAACAATCACCACTGTTGTTAACAAAATTGTCATATATATATATAATGGCATTTCTTTATACATATTATTTAATCCCGTTGTTTTCTTCCAAATAACTGGCCGCTACTTCTTTGGTCTTCCTCCCGCGTCTCGGGAGATTTTGGCATACGATTGCCGATATGGGTTTGTATTTCTGTTGGGATTCGAGATTCGATTACTGCAACTTCATTGGCACCTCAGTCAAAGGTTCACTTTAGATCAAGGAACACGGTTATCGTTGATCGACGGTGTATGTGAGTCAACTTTAGAACTTGATGAAACGTAAAAATTTAATCCATACAGGCGGCAACAGGTGGCGCTGTTCCTCCCGTTGTTCATGCACATTCGTCTTTCTTGAACGTGTCAGAAACCGAAGTATGACGCAGGCTAACACTTCGACGACGACTGGGATCAACCGTATCCCACGATGTTGTGAATAGTCCGTTTAAATTGCTTGAAATATCGAACCATCAGTGGTTTACTTTAGTTTGATTAAATGGGCTCCTGTATTCAGATAATGTGCAATAATAGGGTCCACGACGTGATCACTTCTATCTCTAAATGAGCAGGGGAAGCCCACCAGGTCCACTTGACTTTCATCTGTTCATAATCTGAATGTTATTCCATAAGTCTACGTCCGTTTTGAATCAAATAGCAGTGTTTTGTTTCAGTTTTGGCTATCTCCAGTTCAACTGAATTTTTCGTGAAAATACTCTACCCAGCGATAAAGCCGTTGTTCCTTGGTGGTTCATTTTTCTGCAATTGATCCTCTACTCTGAAAACAACCTTCGGTACAAAATGGGCAAAAAGGAAAAATGGCGTGCTCATTCAGTGAAAAATTCAACGGCATCTTTTTTCGGAACGCAATGAGTTGATCTCGATTCCCAGATATTAAGCATCAACTTCGATTTGGTTACAACACAAATAGAGAATATTCGGTTAATAACACGAGATACATGTTTGAGAAATTGAATTTTAAAATATGAGCGAAGTGTATACATCAGATAATTTGCACACCATTGACTAACAACACCTTTTCAAGTGTATGCCCAAAGAGCAATTTTTGAATGCTGGTATATCTATACAGTCAATCTCCTGCTATTTTGCACCCCTGAGAAGTCGCATTTTTTATTATCTTCCCACTTTTTCGAAAATCTAAACCAAACTTATGCGTAATGATGTAGTTTC